AAGGTAAGGAATATAAAAATAAATGGATTATTTCAAACTATTCCAAAATTAATCATATTATTTGCGGTGAATTGATATCTCCTTCATTTGGATATACTCGAGATTCATTTGAAATCAGATTTAATAGATTTCATACAAATTACTATTTAAGAGAAATATCCATATATCTTCATTCTACAGCTGAACAAAATGACATAGAATTCTCATTAACTTTATTAAACAAAGATCCAAAAAAAAATTTTTGTCGTAAATACAATGGTGGTAAGTGGTAATTTTATTTTTATTCAAAAAAATTATTATTTTATTTTTTATTAATTATTTATAAAATTCAGAAGGGTTTACATCAATATGGGGATGGAGCAACTTTATATGTGCCGACGAAATAAATAAAGAAAACGGATTTGTAACAGAAGATGACAAAGTAGAATTTGAATTTACACTTACTTATCCTAAAGCAATGCCATTGTTATCAAATTACATTCCCAATTAGAATTAATAATTTAAATTTTTTAAATAATGCATTTTCTATACTTTTAGAACCATCATAAGTTTATTTTATTAAATAAAATTTTTCACAATTACATAATATTTCTTTTAAGAAGGTTTATAATGAATATAGTTTTTATTAGTTTCGTTTTTAATTTTATATTACCTGGATATCTAAAAAATATTATTATATTTCTAAAAAAGTAAAGGAAGCATAATAATGTGTATATATAAAATTTAATGAATATTATTCAAAAATGGTAAATAAACAGAATCAATATTGATGAAATAAAAGTTTTGTTGTCATATATCACAAGTCTTGGGTTTAAATAAATTTATTTAAATTATAAAATAATCTAAAAATAAATACACGCATAAATTTTTTTAATTCAGCTTTTAGAAAATTATTTTAAAAATATTTACAAAATTAAAAAAATTAACACTATTTTAATAACCACAAAATTTATTTTTATAGCCCCTCTTTGTTTTTATTTTTAAGTTACTTAAAATTAAGTTTTTTAATTGATTGTGTGTTTGTAAAAAAAAAAATTTCTTTTCTATAAAAAAGTGGTTATAGAAAAATATATATAACAAAAAATATATATAAAAAAATTTTAAAATAAGAAATATAAAAAAAAAAAATTTTAACAAACACACATAAAAAAATGTCAAGACAACCAATAATATA